TTCTAGAACCCGAGTCTCAGATACAAAATATAAACTTAGGGAAGTTTAATACTAGAGCAGAATCAACAATCTCTTGGGTTTTAGGTTTATGAATGTTTTATTCCTCCATTGGAGTAGGAAGGTAGAGTCCACAGTGAATGAGTAACTGCAGATTTGTAGTCATTCTCCTTTTATAATCTGACATTTGTGAAGGTGTTTTGGAAATTGTCACAAAATGGGGGAGGAAAAATCCCAATATCAATAATCTCAGATATGCAGATGACACCACCCTTATGGCAGAAAGTGAAGAAGAGCCTCTTGATGAAAGTGAGAAGACAGTGAAAAAGTTGGCTTAAAGCTCAACATTCAGAAAACTAAGATCATGGCATCCGGTCCCATCACTTCATGGGAAATAGATGGGGAGACAGTGGAAATAGTGGCTGACTTTATTTTTCTGGGCTCCAAAATCACTGCAGATGGTGATTACAGCCATGAAATTAAAAGACGCTTACTCCTTGGAAGGAAAGTTATGACCAACCTAGACAGCATATTAGAAAGCAGAGACATTACTTTGTCAACAAAGGTCTGTCTAGTCAAGGCTATGGTTTTTCCAGTAGTCATGTATGGATGTGAGAGTTGGACTAGAAAGAAAGCTGAGTGCCGAAGAATTGACGCTTTTGAAATGTGGTGTTGGAGAAGACTCTTGAGAGTCCCTTGGACTGCAAGGAGATCCAACCAGTCCATCCTAAAGGAAATCAATCCTGAATATTCTTTGGAAGGACTGATGCTGAAGCTGAAACTCCAATACTTTGGCCACTTGATGCGAAGAGCTGACTCATTTGAAAAGACCCTGATTTGGGGAAATATTGAAGGCAGGAGGAGAAGAGGATGACAGAGGATGAGATGGTTGGATGGCATCACCAACTCAACAGACATGGGTTTGAGTGGACTCCGGGAGTTGGTGATGGACCGGGAAGCCTGGCTTGCTCCGGTTCATGGGGTTGCAGAGTCAGGCACAACTGAACAACTGAACTGAACTGCATACAAAACAAAAAGGAACATGACAACCTGGGGAAAATGTTTGCAACACATATGGCAAAAGATACGTATTCCCAATAGAGAGGCCTCTAAAGCAACAACAAGACTATGAGTGCTCCCAAAAAAGACATGATGAGGCAATTCACAAGAGGAGAAACTCAAACAGCCAGAAAATCTGGAAAATAATCAGACTTAATAGTAACCAAATTAAAACAAGTTTTTCATTCTTTTTTCCTTTCAAATTGACAAAGATTAAAAGAATAAGAGGCCAGTGTTAAGTGTGGTGATACAGGGCAGTCTCATCCACTGTGGGCAGAGTATAGGTTGACACAGTTTTTCTCAGAGACAGCAGTCTATATGAATTGAGAACCTCAAAAATCTTCATACTGTTTGTCTTCATAATTAAACTTTGTAATTAGACTTGCACAAAGATACATGCATGTGACTATTCACATTGTGGTGTTACATAAAAAAATTTTAATGACATAAGTGGGGTATGGTTAAATAAATTTTGATCTATCTATGGACCATTAAAAATCAAATAATCTTTAGGAATAACTTATTCTGCAGGGCTTTCACATTTTGCTGACAGAGAGGTGATGGTACAGAAATAAGAGAGAGACAAGAGAACAGATGCAAAAGGGAAACATCTAAAGAAGAGTGTCCTTTACCCTTACCCGCTTCTCAAGCTCTGGGACTCACTTGGGCTCTCACAATTCCTTAGGGTAAATATCCACACTTAATTCTAACAATGTCAGAGTCATACACTTAGAGGTTTAGAGCTTAATACATCTCTGTCCTCCGAAGTCACAAACAACATGGTTAAAGAAAATTTCCTACACACCACTAGATGCTTATCTACTTGTTTCTAACTTTTCTGTTGATTCAGTTCTGCCTTCAAAATAAAAAGTTAGATAAAATCCAAAGTGAGCACAACTCATATTTATTTATTTCTAAGGCACTATCGGATAAGGTAATGGGAACCCACACCAGTATTCTTGCCTGGGAAATCCCATGGACAGAGGAGCCTGGTGGCTACAGTCCATGAGGTCACAAGAATCAGACACAACTTAGTGACTAAACCAACCAACCAATCAAGGCACTATCATTTTAAGTTGGATTGCCTTCAAGAAACTGCAGCCTAATTCTTAAATTTTAGGGATTGGTGGTGTTTAAAATGCAAGTATTTAGTGATGTATTTTACGTGGCAAGTTTCTGTAATAAAACATTTCAATGGACGAATCATGACAGTCAGAAAAAGTAAGACACTTCAACCCTTTTCACCCTTGCTATTGAATCTTGGAGTATTTGACCCAGGGGATACTTGGAACTTGTTGATTATTGTTCTGCTAATCCTTTAAGCAGTTAGTAACTGTAGGCAAAATGATCAAAAGTATTTATAAAAATTAGATGAAAATATAAGAGAACAATTGAGGACAACAAAAGATTCCTGAAATATCTGAGGGCATATAATAATTTTCTCATGCTTTTCTAACTCAGAGATGACATACTTGTATCCAGCAGATGGATTGTAGACCAGTGATGAGACGCTCCCGGGTGGCGCAGTGGTAAAGAATCTGCCTGCCAAGGCAGAAGACACTAGTGATCCAGGTTCAATCCCTGGGTCGGGAAGATCCCTTGGAGTAGAAAATGACAGTCCACTCCAGTAGTCTTGCTGGCAAATTCCATGCACAGAGGAGCCTGGCAGGCTACAGTTCATGGAGTTGCAAACGGATGGACACGACTGAGCACGCAGCATGCACGGATGCACATGAGACTCTGATCCCCTACATCCTCAGAGCAGCCAGGCATGACCTGGGACTAAGGGACCCTAGACTGGTCTCCTGACATCCACCATCTATACAGCACCAGGGAAAGCCAGCTGCGGAGACTGTGAAACAGCCCATCATTGACAGAGAACCCATTGAGCTGCTAGGGAAGTCTGTTTTCCAGGTGTTCTAGGATAGGATTGCCAGCCTAAGTTCATATTGGGTGGAAGAGGGTAGGAAGGAAAGAAGTAGATCTACAAGACATACTATCACACACGCACAAAACTCACAAATCCATAGAATTTAGTAAGGACGAAAGAATTAGTAAATGAGCTAAAGCAGTGTTGTTCATAGAAAAGGACAGATACTAACAAAAAGTAGTTTCAGTAAAATCAAAATTAAAGAGGAAAAACATAGAAGTGGTTTAACTGCTCTTATAAGGAAATTCATCCAGGAATTAAACTGACAATGGTTTTATGTCAATTAAATACTTTCTTGATCAATTTCATCTTCATTGGTAAAGTTATGATTGGAATGTTTGTATTCATAAATGAGACTTAGAATGTCTGAGGGAATCAAAACAGGGTGAAAATGGGAAGTAGAGGCTCCACTGAGCACTCAGTGACACCTGTGAGAATGAATGAACAGGGTTTCCCACCCATCCCTACCAGCATCTCTGCTGGAGACACTGCCTGACCTGTAATCTGGTATGTCTCAATCCATTAATTGGTGCAGGCCATAACTCTCATCAATTCCTCTCTTCCTTTGAATGGTCCTTATTGCTGTTCATAAAATAAGTCTTATATTTGAAGTCACACTCCAGTTTTGACTATTCTTAGACTCAGGTCCTAAAGTCCCTTAATCCATGATTCCGATTTGTCCTTCAAATTGTTGCACCCAGTCAGAAGAAAAACAGTTAATTCATATTCACAATATATATTCACAGGACCTTTGTTTCCTGACTCCTATCCCCAGCTCACCTGTTGTTCCATAAAGCCTAGGGCTGAGTGGGTAAGAACAAGAAATAGGATAAATGGAAATGGAGGGGTGGTGAGAGTACAAGATGAAGTGAGCAGGAGGAAAGATTGGAGATATCTGGTACCACTTTTCTTTTTTAAAGTCAGAAAACAAGAACATGGGAATAAAAGTACTTGTTTGTACCTATTCTTTATTCACCATGAATTTTGCCTACCCTTTATTAATATTCTAAGACAACGCATTTTGTTTCACTTGGATTGTCATAATGAAAGATCTTTTTTTTTTTTCTTTAAAGGGGAACTGAACACGTGGATTCTGTAACAGTAATCACATTGCTTTAGGTTTAATGAGTCCCATTTTACCGCTTTTGGTGGTGCAGTGGTGAAGACTCCACCTTCCAATGCAGGAGATGCAAGAGATGCGGGTTCGATATCTGGGTTGGGAAGATAACCTGGAGAAGGAAATGGCAACCCAATCCAGTATTCTTATCTGGAAAATTCCACAGATAGAGGAGGCTGGCAGGCTACAGTCCATGGAGTCTCAAAGAGTTGGACATGGCTGCGCACACACGCATGCAGTGTAGAAAAGTAAAACCAGAATTTTACAGGTCTTTCATTTATCCTTATATGTTGTGCTATTTACTGTTTTCTAGACATTTTGTTTTTTGAACACCAGAACACAGGACAGCGCTAGCACTTTAAAGGGGGTCAATAGGGAATTCCCTGGCAGGCCAATGATTGGAACTCCACACTTTCACTGCCAAGGGTCAGGGAACAAAGATCCTGCAAGCTTGTGGCCTGGCAAATAAATAAATAAGGGATTCAATCATCGCTTAATAAGCAAATGAATGAATGATGTTTTTACAACTGGACATAACAGACATTCATTCATTTCATTTTGATGAGTATATTGTGGGTTTATACTCTCACACAGACTGGTAAGCATAGGAAACAGCTTCAGATTTACATGAGGACAAACCCCTTCATTGCCTGCCTTTGTTTCTTCACTGTCTTGTTTAGAAGACAGTTTGAAAGTGCTTGTTACAAAACAGTCTTGTTAGTGGAAAGTGACTCAAAATGAAGAAGTCTCAGTTCTAGGTCTCCTTTTTACAAAGTCTCACCCAAGAGGAAGTGAGCACGGGGTAAGCCGCATAAGTGCCGCAGAGATGAAACGTAAACCAGGAAGAAACATGCCGTCGATGTACTTGATGGGAACACATGTATCATGTGAAGAGACATGACAAAAACAGCCCTCCTTAAATTACTTTTGGCCATAGTGATCACGTTCATTTTAATTTTGCCAGAATATTTCAAGACGCCAAAAGGTGAGTAATTACAATTTACTTTTCCTTTTTTTAATTTTTAAAAATTGTATCGGTTAATGGTTACAGGAAAGGCCTTATTTTTGGATATGTGCTGTGAGGGCTGAAGTTCTATGTCTGGAAAGCTAATAAAATGAAATTGTAATTTTAGTTGACTTTTACATGGTACAGTACCTTACAGTACTTAAGTATTGTAGCATGCAATAATGAAATGAAAAAAAATGAAAAGAAATACTTAAAATCTGTAGTCTAGCTTTCAAACATTGAATTTACAACAATTTCACTGTATGATTTTGCTCTTTGAAAGGCTCCTTCAAAATAGCTTTAAGTATGCTTTTACATCCTGGAATTACTTTATAGATAAAGTAACATTTACTATGTTAAAAATGCTTGCATTCCTTTCCATTACAACTATTTCACACAAATCGCTTACTGTTACTTTTTGAAAAAAAAAGTATAAAGATTTTTTTTCAAAATACAGCTAAAATAAGATGGGTAAAAATTTAAGTGGCTGTATACCTGTATATATTTGTAATTAGAGAAGAATGGGACAAAATTATCTCTGTTTATATTTCAGAAAATTGTGATATTGCTGAAACCTAAGGTAGGAAAAGAAATAGATGTAAATTTAAACTACTTTCATAGATCAGGAAGATTTGAAAATATATTAGCATGACTGTTTGAATGGTAATTGCACTCCCTAGCATTTTATAAGAAAAATTAAAAAGAAAATGCTGTATTCTGTGATTAAAAATTTATCATATGAATTGATTAAAATCAGAGAAAAGCTTGTATTTGATGACTTTTTACAATGATTAGTCATTGTTGTATATACATATACTAAGTGACGATAAATACACTGTTGTTAATTACATTTAGTGACATATTGCAAGGGTTATTTACTACTTCATATACATGATGTGAAGTAGCAGATAATTTCTTTGCTTAATAAACACTATGAATGTACATTTTGGGAATAATTAAAATTTTCAAATTTCTGGCATTATGTTGCTTAGATTAAGCAATCATAGCATATATTTTAATTGATCTATTTGGTAATGACTGGTTAGTGTTTTGTGACAACTGGTTAAGTACAAGAGCATGTTAAAATTATTCTTTTGGGGGCAGATGTCTCGACAAATAATCTACCATCATTGATGATAACTTTGTACTCTCAGTTTCCTAACTGTTTATAGCTTTCAATACTACATTTACTGCCTCCTAAAACTTAAAATAGCCATGTCTCTTTCCCTGGTCCAAGAACAATGTAGAACTTTCCTCCAACTCTTTTTGGAGTGATGGATTTATTTGAGGATTTTGTTTTGAAGGAACTCTCCTTGGGGCCAACAAACAAAACTATTTGAAAAGCAACATTTTGTCCTGATATCGTTTTGTGGTAGCAGGAATTTTGCACATAGCCACCATAAGTGAGAAATGGATTAGGCAAAATGTTTTACACATATGATAGTATAATAATAACGCTTTATATTTTATAATGGTTTATGGATCACAAGGAGCAAATTTATATAGACTCATTTTATACAGTTCTATATTGATTCAACTAAGGATGCATAATTGTTTTGTCTTTTTTTGGTGGCAATTTCTAACCACAGCAATAGCTCCTTATGAAATGAGGTGACTTATTAACCAAAGTATTTTGCAAAATAAGCTATTTAGTAAGATTATTTAGATGGTGAGATAAGAGTGTTCTAAAAGTACTAAAATTAACCTCGGGAGTTTCTCCTATAGTCTAACTCTATTAGTTACTTATGTCTCCTTTCCATTCTTATGTTCTATTCACTTTAATACCTAAGATAAATATTATAAAATGATTCTTACTTATAAATTATTTACTGATACACTGTCTTTAACATGTCAAATGAATTCAAAAGGAATCTTAATGAGGAATAATGTATTCACAAGGTTTAATAGATTTGATTTCAAAATAATAAGCCCTCTGAAGACCTAAGTTAAAAATAGAGCACTCTATTTGATCATTTTTCATCAAGAATGTATCTGAGTCTCTGAATAATCATTACTCAGAATATTCAATTATTATAATTACATAGTGTAAGCTATTTAGTCTAACTTCTTTGGAAGGGGAACTTCTTTAATTGTATTTGGGACTTGTAATAACTCTGCATTGGCATTCACTGGCAAGACAGCATATTCTAGCTTTCAGTTTATTGGAAAGGCATCTTACACTAAGACATAGTAGTTAATATAATGGTTTCATACTCTTATATTGCATTAGATAACAGAGATACAAAAGGGAGGGGATATATTTTTATTCAGAGCTTCTTGAAGTTAAGGAAGCTGGGTTGTTCCAAACAGGAGACATTTTATCAACCTTTGGGTGGATTTACAGTGTTTAGAGAAACAGAACTCTGGCTAACTCATAAAAATCTCAGTGATCTTCTATTTATTTGTTCTTTCACTTATGAATAGTGTCTAACTGTACTAACAGCCCAAGGCTACAAAAATGAAAGGCAATTCTTCCTTCAAAAAGTTTTCAGTCAAGGGGAGGACTGACTGATAAATAATTAAATACAGCCCTGTAATAATGAAAATAGCAATGTAAAGACACAATGGGAACATAAAAGTTGCTTCTAGAACTCTCTGGGGGAGGGCATTTCTTCATTTTTATTCACAAAACAAAACAACTGTCAGAGTTCTAATGATCAATTAATATTTCTCCTTAGCTACATTAAGAAGCACTTTCTAAAAGAAGGAATTGTTACTGATTTTCAAATAAAATGTATTCGTACTGATATCTCAAAAACTCTTGAAGCCAGAAATTATAGAGTTATGTGAGTATATTCCAGATTGTGGTGACGAGGACCGGGAATAGCACAGATGAGAACCCCACAGACCTAATTTTATTTGTTCTTTTGACTTCCTCTCTTACTTTTAGGAGTCAAACTCACATATACTATGTTTATCAAGTTTCATTTCCCTTCCATTTCACACTTTCTGATGGAAATGCCAGTACAGTGATCAGTGAAATTGAAGAAAACAAAGGATAAAAGAACCTTGCTGCTGCTGTTGCTGAGTCGCGTCAGTCGTGTCCGACTCTGTGCGACCCCATAGACGGCAGCCCACCAGGCTCTCCCATCCCCGGGATTCTCCAGGCAAGAACACTGAAGTGGGTTGCCATTTCCTTCTCCAATAAAAGAACCTTAAATGCCTATAAAGTGAAACTGAAAGTGAAATCGCTCAGTCGTGTCCGACTCTTTGCGTCCCCATGGACTGTAGCCTACCAGGCTCCTCTGCCCATGGAATTTTCCAGGCAAGAGGACGAGAGTGGGTTTCTATTTCCTTCTCCAGGGGATCTTCCCAACCCAGGGATCGAACCCGGGTCTCCGTCACTGCAGACAGACGCTTTACCGTCTGAGCCACCAGGGACGCCTTAAATACCTACAAAGGACAGGATAAACCCTGAAGTATATGAGTATACGTTCATATTACTTATGTCTTATTATTATAAGTATAATCAAGGATAACTGCAATTCTTTTGAAAAATTGTTATTCTCGTCCTTAAAAAATAGGTCCTTATTTTCTTATTGGTTCGCTCATTCAATCAGCAATACCCAATCACGTTTGGAATATAGCCATGATCATTTAAAAAAAGGTTAAAAAATACATATTTATGCGTGCATATACAGTTACTAGCCCTGGAGGAGGGAATTGCAACCCACTCCAGTATTCTTGCCAGGAGAATCCCATGGACAGAGGAGGCTGGCAGGCTACAGTCCATGGAGTGGCAAAGAGTTGGACACTACTGAAGCAATTTAGCACCACACAGCATATGGGTATTATATAAAAAATACTTTTACATATAATACATTATTTTAGCTTATTAAATACTTCAGCTCCCTAGAGGTGTAGTATTGTTCTCAACAGAGACTATTTTGAAAATCTTTGGGAAGAAAGAATAAATCTAGATGGATAAATTTACTTTGTTGTAAGATTTCATTTCTTGCTGAATTTTCTGAACCATTATAGTTTTTAAATGGCTGCTAATGGACATGCATTCATATATATATATATATCTTAGATGTACATAATGGCAAAAAAAAATAATGCTTTTCACTGCTTGGGCAGAACTGGCCTTATTCTCTCATAGGCCTCATTCTCTCATAGCAACAACCCTTGCTTAGGAAGCTTTCTAACTACTTGTCTCATTCATTTGCCTTTGTAGATAAATGTTTTCTCTGAATATCCAGCATCTGCACATTTGAAGGCGTTCAATGAGTATTTGTGACTAAGTGAAATTTCTGAGTCATATTATAAAGGAAATAAAAAATATTATAAAGAAAATAAAAATAAAATGCTTTCTGGAAGGAAGCATTTCTCATCAGACCCTCACAACCATCTCTTGATTTAGGTACGCCAGGTATTATTATCCCCATCTTACTTTGTTCTTGGGCCACACTACACAGCGGTAAAGAATCTGCCTGCAATGCAGGAGACCTGGGTTCAATCCCTGGGTTGGGAAGATCTCCTGGAGAAGGGAAAGGCTGCGCACTCCCGTATTCTGGCCTGGAGAATTCCATGGACTGTATAGTCCATGGGGTCGCAAAGAGTCGGACACGACGGAGCGACTTTCACATTCACACAGCTTATGGGATCTTAGTTCCCTGACCAGGGATAAAAGCTGAAATACTTGGAGTGGAAGCACAGAGTCCTAACCACCATCAGGGGACTCCCTCATCTTAGGTTTTGGAAACATAAAATTTCACCACAAACCTTGAACTTTTAGGCTGCGCAAGCCTCTGAAACTTATTTCATAGAATCTTTTACTTAAAAGATATGCATCTCTTTACCTTGAATCATTTTTCTGCCATTTTCCCCCCAATGGAGAATTCCATAGTGTGGGATATGATAAAAATGGCAGGTATTTAGAAGAAAATTTATAGTTTTAAATTCTTTGATGTAAGAACAGTGAGTTAAACCCAAGGTAAGTAGAAGGCAGGAATAATAAAGACAAAAGCAAAAGTCAA